GCAAAAAAAAAAAAAAAAAGGAGGGGGGAGCAGTGTCAAAAGGAGGAGGAAAAAGGGGGAGTTCAGAATTGAAAGGAAGCAAGGAGGGAGAGTATAAGGGGAGGGCGTGGGGGTCAGTGTCAGTTCCTTAGAAGCCCACTTTCTCTCCCTCCATTATCCAGAAAAGAGGGGAGCAGGGGTTAATGTTATGCAACACGCTGAATACGACCACTCACACAAGCCTTCTCCTCGGTCATCTAATACTTTTGGAGCATCTATCTACTGGACTGTCTCCTCATATTTGGGCTGCCTCACGCTTAGAAAGTGAAAATTGGAAGACAACAAGATGTTGGAATTTGTCTGTGGGAATTGTTTTTTTGCCCAGTCATACTAAAAATGTTATTCATCCAAGCACACTTTTGGGACCCTCGAATAAGAATGTCATCATTACGTCCAACAAGTCTGTTACATTTTGGGTTGACTTTTTTTTTTCATTTTATTGTTAATATTGATGACTTAGGTGAAGTGTTTTTACTATGAAATGCTCTTTGCGAAATATATTTGCTTCCACATGACTCTTTGATGAAGTGTCACTTTTTAACCACGGCAGACAGTGGAACTTAACCACCTGCTGTTTGGAGGCATCCGTGAGAAAGACTTGACAAGAATTAAATAAACAGCTCACTCTTGTCACCCATGGTGCCCCCCTCTTGCACATACTGTAATGTAAAGTTAATTAGTTAATAATAAAATACAGGAGGCCACTTGATTCCTAACACTATAATACTCACTAAAATCACCAATCAAATAACGATACTCTATCGAAAAAGAAAGGGAAACTGGTATTTCTATATGCAGCGTGAAAGGTGGTGAAAGGCATTGTGTGGGAGTATTCAAATTCACATCACCGTCTGAGGGAGTGACATCATAATCTTCAGTGCATTGATTTACGTGTCCGTGAACAGCAATGGAGGAGAGTCAGAGAGATTCCCATTTTCAAACTGGAGGAAGAGTCACTATTTTGAGTTTGTGTCAGCTAAAAACAAAAATATTGAAGTTGATTGTGCACTCTGTGCTGTCTACAGAAGTTTTGTAGCTTCAATAAGACTACGTAAAATTCTTTATATGTGTGTGTGTGTGTGTGTGTGTGTGTGTGTGTGTGTGTGTGTGTAT